GGGATTCTTAGACATGATTATCTGAGAGGTATATAGAAGAGGATTATTAGAGATTCGCGTTAAATGATTGTTACAATTAAATGTTTGGACTTATGTTATTTAATTGTTCTCCCACTAATTTTATCGAGTTCCACTTCCCTCTAGTAGACAAACGAGAAAACTGATTTTTCTTAATGGGCTTTAGGTCCAATAGACAAATATAACCCGTAGTTAATGTAGCCCGATTATATTTGCCCAAAGGTAGATCACAATCAATCATATCCACAATATGACCGTAAATTAATTTTCCTCACACTTGATAATGACCTAAGTTAATCTCGCGAATATCAAAATCGTCGTGTGTCAAGTCTAACCTACCAATCAAAGATGCTCATAGAACTTGATTATGCCAAACTAATGCAGTCCCTAGTTAATCTAGCCGACCACGTTAATCCAACATAACCCTTTTCTATGGCTACCTTCATCACTATGTCAATTGAATTACAGCTTACTCTACCATAGCACTCCCCGCTAACACGGCTTACTGCACTACAGTAAAGGACTACACATAATCCAACCGTTGGCAGAAGGAAAGAAATAACTCAACATATTGGGTTTTTCTTTATAGCTTGAAATGATTCTTAATTTGATTAAGAATGAGGGGTTTTATTAAAAGTTTTATCTCATGAGAAGGTTCGGATTGGTCTATGTGATTCCTACATCTATGTTCTCTAAAGGTATATGGAAACGCATATTGTCCTAAGAGGAACATACGACCTAACTACATAATTAATTACAATAATTAATTATCGGGTTTTTCAAAATAATTATAGAACCTCAACTCGCATAAATCATTCAAATAATGTCGAGGTACTATTAATTAAGTTGAACTATAATCAATATTATATTTGTGTTCTATTAATTGAAATCAATTTAACAATTTAAATTAATTAATTAATCTAACACCTATTTACTAAAATAGATGATTGTCGATCCAATTATCTAATTGGGATTAATTGAAAATAATTTTTCAAAAATTAAAATCAATTTGTTTTAAGTTTAATTTTAGAAATCTGAAATAAATTTTTTTTTTTTTCTTTTTTTCAGTGAACCGGTTCGGCCCAACCGGTCTTACCGGTTCGGACCAAAGCGGTACGAATCTGCCCGGTCCAGTTGACCCAAATCAGTGGGCCGGGTCAGTCGGATCGAGAACCGGTCTGACCGACCCGAATCCACGTGGATTCGGTCAATTAGATCGCAGACAACCATCGAACCGGCCGGTTCGACCGGTTCGATCCGAACAATTTAAAAACCGACGTTTAAAAATAATTTCAGATCCGATTTTCCAATTTTAAACAATTTTAAAGCTGGAAAAATTCTAAACAATATTTCAAAAATATTTTAAACTTACGAAAACTCCCAATTACATAATACAACAATCACTACTTTAATAAATCGAACATGCATAAAATCATAGCATATTAAAACGAACGCAATTAATTGCGCAACGAGCTCTGATACCACTGTTGGGAATCAGGCACGTGTACGCA